TCAGAGAAATGTAGTACGTATGCCGAGAAAATCGCATACTTTATCTGGAACGAGTAGTAATAGAACAGAATCGTCCCCTATAAAGCAGTCGTTAGTTTCAAAGATCATGGCATTCCAGAAACAATCTACAAAGCTGGCTCCGAAAATTGAAAAACCTCCGAAGCCAAGCAACGAGAAGGTAGACATAATTTCACAGATTAACTTTTATTTATGTAATATCTATTTTCGTACGTATTAGGTAATTAAGACAGTGGTGCGAGAGGCGATAAAAAAATACAACAAGAATACTCCTTTGTCCACCACTGCTTCAGAAACACCAACGTTGCCATCTCTTCTGTCTACAACAAACAAGATTGATCAAACAGTGAGTGTGAAAAATAAAAATCGTAACGTCCCGAGAAGATATCCTCGTCAAAGAAAGGACAAGGTTCTATCAGATATCACCGACATGTATGCCGTTGGTTTGAGATTAACCAAGTGATTAAAAATGTCCTCTCGTGATTCGCACTCGTTACTTCCATTGTTGATCTCCTCTCGAAGTCTATGTTTCAACTGTACGTTTAAGTGATCAATAAAGAAAAAAAAAACCACCTACACGACCGACTGTTATAATATCTTTCGATTTTTCATTCCCTGTAAAGGACACCGAAACAAAATCTAATCGACTATCACATCGAACAATCATGATTTCGCTAATGATTCGGCAATGGCAACTTCAAAATTATTAAATTATTAAAGTGGAATAGTCAGGCAAATGGAGGCCATCGTTCTCCGAGAATATCCTTCTAAATTTGATGATTGGTTGTAAAAGAATTAAGCGATATACATTTTTTTTGTCCATACTTGTCGCGTGGAATGGCGTACGTCGGCTCATCTTGGAACTCTGGAGATACTACGCTCGCAATCAATTCGCTAGATAATCAGAAAGATGTCGATCATACTCTTCTCAACGACGATAATTATCGATGCATCATTTTCCCAAGTTCCAATTGCAAATTCGAGGTATGGTATTTCACGAAGGTTAACTTTTAAAAGCTGTCATCCCACGCAAGGAAATCACGGATGAAATTTTATCCCAGTAGACTTTTTTTTTTTTATTTTTAAAAAAGTAAGAGTCAAAGAAGTACAACTTCATAGATATTAAACGATTTTTAGATTATTGCTCGCAGTGACAACAAATAACACTATGATTCTATTATTAGAAGACGATAATATTAAAATAAAATTCGATGAAATTTCATCGCTTTATTGATAAAACCTGCATCGGGAAAGTTTAAGATACAATAAAGAACACAAGCTTCGATTTGCATCATTCAAATCTCAATTTTTATACAATATTGCGACTATAAAATATTTTATGAAATATTTTTAATTAAGGATTTATCTTTTTCTCCCGACAGTTCAGAAACGCTACTTTACAGCCGTCAGGCAAAAATTCGATATCGTCCAACACTTGCACCGATTCGGAAAGTGAATTTGATGAATCAGTGAACGTAATACCGTGTCTGCCAACGAATTTCAGTAACCCGTGCACAAACGACGATCATATTTTCAAGCCCGGCGAAAGAGCACTCGATGCAGCGAGAGTAACGTTTGATCAAACGTTATACATCTGCTCAAATGGAAGCCCAGAACTCCGTTTGAAGAAACGATCGATACGAAGAGAAGTTGAAAACACTTCCGCGAGAGTTGCACGGCTAACGAAAAAGACGAACTGTTTCAGGGAGAAACATAATCTGAAGAACAAGCACTGCAGAATGAGATTCTGTACGTCGCGATTCCCTGGCAAGTGTGAGAAACAAACAGCATTGAAAGACAAAATATTTCTTGAAGAAGAACGTACGAGAAGTAACGGGAGTGTGCAGTCTGGTAAAATTTTATGAATGAGTATCGTCTTTATAGTGGCGTAAGTGAAGATTTGGAAAATTTGGATTGTGTACTTGAAAGTTGAAAGTTCTTCAAAATTATTTAATTTCATAATTAATTGAGTTATAACTTTATTTATTGAGAATTTTTTATAGCAGTGAATGAACATTATTTTATGAAAAATCACATTACTATTATTCTCAATCCTCTGTATAATTGCTTCACAACATTTTCGTATAGTTTTGGTTTATTTTCCAGGCATGAAAGGCATTCTTCAGGATACCAAAAAGTCTTGCAATTTCACGAATATTGTACTAGAAGACGAAAGAGGTGCCTGCAAGAGAAAAACGTTGATCGAGAATAGGATCGCAAAGAACAAACGTTTGCTAAAAACAGTGAAGGATGTAATTCACGAGATGAGCGAGCAAGAAAATCTGCTTCAAATGGATTTGAGCTCGATTCAAAGTATCAAGCCGCAGAATGAAGCTACGGTGACTAATCTAGCGAACCGGAAGAAATGCGAGCAAGAAATACGAGTGATAAAACCAATGAAAATTGGGAACAACGGCGCTGTTACGATCGACTTGCAAAAGCCAGTCTTTAAGAAGCAAAAGATGGGAAAACTTTTGGACGACTCCATGCACGAGGCCGTGAAAAAATATCGAACGAACAGAGATACGTGGGACAGAATAATGAAAGAACAGTTC